CAACCCACTCAGTCACCTCTGGCACTCTGCCCACCCCTATTTGCCCACTGGCTAGCCTGCCTGCCCTGGGAGTGCCCGGTCTTTGAACAAACTTCCAGCAGAGCTCGGCTAGACAAGCTCAGGCAGCCTCAGCCTGTCTTCTTCAGGATGGGGCTCTGCCTTCCTTGGCAGCTGATTGGGGGGGGGCGGGAGGAGAAGGAGGAAGAGGAAGAGGAGGCCTCACTGAATGAACTACAGGGGGAGGGGGGAGAATCTCCTGGTGGGAGGGGGGAGGACAAGATGAGCCCTGCCCAGCAGGTCCAAAGGGTTGGTAAAGCCTACCTCCTATGTCCCACTCGAGGCTCCTGAGAAGGCCACCGGTGGAGCACAAGGGCAGCAGAGGTCTCTCACACCTGGCCTCCACAGCCACTGCTGCCTGGGTGTAGACCGCCACCGGGGACAGCAGCAGGCTCTATGGAACAGCCCCCCTGACCACTGCTGCCGCAGCCACCACCATCACCACCACCACCACTAGCAGCAGCTGTCCACCCACTTGTTTCCTGCAAGCATCTCCAGGCTTTCAGAGGGGAGCATCTGTAAGACTCTTCAGTGCCAGTGGGGCTCAGTTTTATTCCCCACGTCAGGTCTTGTCTAGTTCCAGGGCAGGCGGCTGAAGGGTGAGGAAGGAGGAGACCCGGTCCCACCCCCTTCTCTGCTTTTGCAGGGTGGAAATAGGGGGAGTGACACCGGTGAGCTCTGTGCGGGAACCCTGCTCAACCTGTGGGCTCAGGGGTAAAGCAGGTGGCGCTGCCCAGAGCCAACCGGGACAGCCCCCTTCAAAGGATCCGGTCTCTGTCCTTCCTCCATCAGCAGCAGCAGAAAAAGCCCCTTTGCTGGAAACAAAAGGCGTTCACGATGCTCTGGGCAGAGGAGGATCCTTCCCAGTGCGCCTTTCTTGTGCCTGTGGTGGAGGTGGGAAGGACCAGGCAAAAGGTGCAGGGAGACAGCGAGCCCTGTTTGCTCCTGGGTGGGATGAGCTCCCTTGGGTGCTGGAGCTGAGAAATCTGGCCCATCCAGGCCTTGGGGCTCCCCAGAACGGCCACGCCCCCCCTTCTCCCTAGTCTCGCCTTCTGCTGGTTTCCCGGCTTCTCTTCTGGTCCAAACACCTCCTTCCCACCGCTCTGCCCAGTTCCCAGCAGCAGGACAATTGCTGGCATTCAGCTGAACAGGTAGGTACCGGGTTTCATTGAATGTAGGCAGGCACATAATAAGCATGGTGATCTAGAGGGGATGGTTGTAGTGGGGATCCCATTGTGATGAGAAACGGAGAACTAGCGGGATCTGATTCCTCTTCCAGGGCTCAGACAGACAGGAAGGCTCGCTGCTCGCCCGCTGCTGCTCTCTTCCTGACCGCTGACGACGGGACCTCTGGAGGAGGCTCTCGTCCAGGCCCACAGAGTGGTGGACAAACAGTGAGTTGCTGGGCAACTGCAGTGGAAATGTGCTGCAGTTCTAGAAAATCCCTGCCTATGCGTGCAAGCTCCCCTCACCCGCCCCCCCTGCCCCTCTCTGCTGAGTGGCAGGCGGCTGACGCTGCTGCTTCCTCTTCTTCCATGTGGGAATTGGGCCTGGGCTCCAGCCGCCAGCCCCTGGACAGCTAAGGCCTGGCTGAGCAGGCAGCCTGGAATGCTCTTGAGCATAGGGGTTGCACTCATGGGGGGGGGAGCGCATGGCAAAGGTTTCTCATTTTTTGTGGGTGGGGGGTTGGGACAGGGTGGGTGTCCCCACCCCCCACCCCCACCCCAGGGCAGAGACACAGGGGGGCGGCTTGCCCACTGGCTGGAAGGATGCTCTCCAGCTGAGGGAGTGGGCTGCTGGACCTGCCCTCCCCTTTCCAACACAAGCCAGGAGTCCTGCTGCTTCTTCGGATGTTTGGAGCGTGAGTGTCCCAGGCAGAGCGTGGGAGAGGCATGTGGTGCTATTTGGGGCCTGTGAAGGATAAGCGGGGGGGGGGGGGGCTCAGAAAGAGCATCTGGATGCGACCCATGTGTCAGGCACGTCTTTTCTCTCATGCACAAGCCGGATGGAGGATGACTCTTAACTCCTGCTACCCCCCCAACCAGAGAAAGGATCCTCACACACACACAGACACACACACACACTTCTCTGCTGGGTATCAGCATCTGAATTCTCAGAGTTAAGAGGGTCCCGTTCTTGGGACAGGCTGATCATAGTTCTTGTTCTGCGCGGTCAAGTCCGTTCTGAATCATGGTGACCCTAATAGGGCTTTGCTTGAGGTTCCTGAGAGCTTCAAGGGCTGCTTTCCAACTTCCTCCCCACCTTTACTTTACTTTTATTAGACTTGTACCCCACCCCACCCCAGACAAGGTCTACTCGGGGCGGCTTACATAAATAATAAAACATAACAATATAACAAACATAATGAAATCCTTCAAAACTCAAAAACTTAACACTTATTACTAAATACATTGCCAAGATGGAAGAGTTCAAGAAACAGAAAAATCAGTTAATTGACTGGAGGGAAGGCCTGCCTAAAGAGCCAGGTTTTTAAATGGCTTTTGAAAACACCCAGCGAGGGAGCCAGACGGATTTCAGTTGAGAGGCTATTCCAGAGGTGAGGGGCCACTGCCGAGAAGGCCTGGTTTCTTGTTCTTTCCTTTTGGGCCTCTCTCGGTGTTAGGCCACTCAGCCATCCCTGCTGGCTATGTCAAGTGATTCGGGTAGACCTAGGTGGGAGAAGACGATTGCCAAGTATCGAGGTCCCAAACCGGGCTTTGTACATCATCATTAGCACTTTGAAATCAATGCAGAAATGGATGGGCAACCAATGCAGAGCAGCTAGAGTGGGGGAGATAATGTTGGTATTTTCTCACCCACTAAGAAGCCTGCCTGGCACATTTTGCACCATCTGAAGTTTCCGCATCAATCTCAAAGGCAGCCCCATGTAGACTGCATTACAATGGTCTAGTCTCAAGATTACGAGCGCATGGACAAGAGTAGTGAGCCCCCCCCAATCAAGATATGGTCGCAGCTGAGCAATCTGCCATAGATGAAAATAGGCGGAACGGGCCAGGGACGGCACCTAGATTTCCATGGTAAGCGCCGGGTCCCGATGTATCCCCAAGCTGCGAACCTCGCTTTTTGCGGTGGGGGTCGTCCCCCCAAAAGAAAGGGAGTCACACAAACTGCTGATGGAGGGACCGCCCACCCTCAAGACCTCTGTCTTGTCCAGGTTCAGCCTCAACCCATTCAGCTGCATCCATTCCAGTACAGACTCCAGGCAGTGCTGAAAGGAAAGAACGGCATCCACTGAAGTAGGTGAAAAGGAGATGTAGAGCTGTGTGCCATCAGCAGCTCCACATCTTGCAAATTTCTTGCTAACCTTGCTAATTTCCAGGGCTGATCTGAACAGCAATTTGAACGTGAGCCTCTGGAGTCCTAGCTGACAATCTCTCCGCTACATCACCCTGCCTTCTGGGCTGTACGAGGGGAAGGCTGGTGCCTCATGGCTGCAGTGGGGGTGGGGGACTAGGGCACATGGAAAGTGCATACATGTGCTAGCCCTTGAGGGAAGCTGCAGTCCATGGCCCTTCCTAGCTGCTGCACAGCCCCTGCCTGACCTTCCCTCCTTCCTTCCTCCCTGTGTGCGTAGAAGGGTTTCCCCCATTTCCTTCCCCCGGGGATGACCTTCCTGGCCAGGGTCTGGGTTGCTCAACCCAAAGAGGCCTGGAGTAGCAGAGGTCATGGGGGAATCCCAAGTGTTCTGGAAAGAGGAGCGGGTTTACTGGCTTCCTTTCGTCCGCAGGGCGTCACTGGGCAATCTGCCTCAGCAGCCCCGGCCTGTCCCGGTGGTGGGCTCTGTCAGGGTGGCCTTTGGCTGGCAACAGCGGCCCCCACCCACCTGTTGATCAAGGGTCCTGAAGTGCAAGAGAACAAGAAGTGGCCCCGCTGATGATGATGGCCGGGTGCAGAAGGCAGGAGCCCCAGGGTGGTCTTCAGTCCCAGACACCCCTGGCAGCCAGACCGCCCCCCCCCTCCCTGGGCAACCCGCCCCTCCTTTGTGACTCTGGTTCCAGCTTTTCAGCAATTCTTTTCTACCGGAGCACTGGGGCAAAATGGGGACAGACATCTCTCCACACACACACACACACACACACACACACACCCGGCGGTGAATGGAGCACGGAGCCCCAACGAGTCCAATGGCTGTCTCTCTCTCTCTCTCCCCCCTCCCTCCCCCTCGCCCGAAGGCACCTCCTGGTCTCCAGCGACCTCTGGGAGACGCGGTCCACCTTCGTTCCCCAGCAATGCCCTCAAACAGCTACTAACTGGTTATGCAGCTAGGAGTAACCATCTGCAAAAAGCTATAAATACTAATTAAAGCATCTGTAGCTATCAATGCCCATTTAAAAGAAAGCATCTTTAGCTAATAGGTTAAGGGGCTGGAGAAAAGGCCATCTCCCTCTTCATTTTGCACATTCACAATAGGAATGTGGGTTTTGTATTTTCTGAACCACTCACACCATACTTCTCCTTTCTGGGAGTTCTATCTTGCAGGCACCTGATAAATACTTTACTGCCATACACCTGAGAGAAAGATCTAAATTAGAAGGCTTTAAGGCCTAACTAGGCCAAGCTCCACCCAGCTAGCAGTGGAGCAGGAAGAGGAAGCTTGAAATATTTTATCAGTGTGCTAACCAAAGAATTCCTACACTGAGAGTTTTTCCTAAGTCAACATATAAAACTGAAGTTTGTTTTGCATGCCTTAAACTAGTTGTGTTAGGGCTTACTCCTAAGCAAGCTTACATAGCACTGAACTCGCTCCCCTTCGCAGGACGCGCTCCTCCCGCCGCCGCCGGCCGTTGGGCGTCCGGAAGACCAGAAGCCGCCGCCGCCGCCCCCCCCCGCCCGCATTTGGAAGGTCGGGGGGGGGGACCTGCGTGTGCATCGAAGGCCACGAAACTAGGAGCTGGATTGAGGGGAATCTGAGGGGGGACAGGTTTCCTGAAAAGGACTGGTGGAGTGGATGTTCTCCTACGGAAAGCCATAGACCTCGGGCTAGTTTGTTTGGCCGCAGCTTCTCCACCCGAAGGGTTCTGCCTAGGTTGCTCCCTTCATCCCCCTTGACTCTTCTCTCTCCTCCCCAGGATGAAGAAGCCCCTGCCCCTCCTGGCTTTGGTTTTTTATGCCACCCTCACCCAGGCCCTGGTGCCCTCTCCGGGCCCTGGAGTCTCCCGCCTGGCCAGGCTCTCCACGGACTTTGGCATCAAGGTCTTCCAGGAAGTGGCGAAGGGTTCCAAAGACCGCAATGTGGCCTTTTCACCTTATGGCGCAGCTTCCGTCTTGGCTATGCTGCAGATGGCTGCTGCAGGAGAGACCCGTGGACAGATCAAGGAAGCCATGGGATATGGAGTGAATGGTGAGGAAGTGGGCACAGGGCCATGAGCTGTTCCTCAGCTCAGTCGGAGGGCTCTGAAGACTGGTGTACACACAGGGCCCTAAATCTGAAGCATGTTGGAGCCCCCGACCCCTGCTGACCCCAACCCCTGTTGCTTCCTTTTAACATCCACAGTGGTCAATGTCAGTGTGCACTCAGTGTGCCTTGAGGGGCATCCCCTAGAAAGAGCCACCTGGAGTCAGATGCGAGCCCCTGCAGGCCACTTTCCCTTCTCCTACGGCCCGGTCATTTGCCCCAAATGGTGGCCTACAAGCAGGACCGGGAAAACCAAACCCTCCTTCATGTGCCCCCCCCCCCAGCATCTTTGCAGCCATGTCAAATGCTTTGGGTTTGGGGGGAGATTTAAGTGATGAAGAAAGGGATCATGTTCTGGGTATTCCCCGTGCCTGGTGTCTTATAAGAGGGGATCCTGCAGACCATCTTGTTTGCTGACATTCTTTCGTCAACTCTGAGGCTAGCCTCTGCTCGTCAGCCTTTTTTCCTGATGGCAAGGCAGGCACATTATTCCAAGGCAATGTGGTTCTATGGCCCAGGATTTTGTACTGCAGACACCAAAGAAAGTTCCCGCATTCCTAAACCAGAGACTTCCTGAAGGTTCAGTTTTCCTTCCTGGTCCCTGATATGAATTGTTTTACACTTGCTTAGATGGAACCTCCTTTGCTTGTTTGGTGCTGAGGACAAAAAAATGTGGCATTCAAAAAACAGGAAGAGAAAGGGGGAAGGATGAGCACGGAATGCCAAGTTTGCCTGAGATGGGATCTCAGTCTGAGCAGCCTGTCTTTCAGAGGGATCCTTTCCTTAAACAAGGAGGTGCTCCCCCTGACCCTAACCCTGGTTCCCAAGAGGAAACCTGACACCACCGTTTTAAGTGAGGGGAAGTAGAAAAAGGCACCTCTGTAATTTTAAAGCCCCCTGCTTTCATGGACCAGAGTGGGAGCAGGGATGTCGCTTTAGGGCAACTTCCATCATCTCTTACCCCCCCCCCCGCTAGTGCTGGCTGGGGTTCATGAGAGCAGCAGATTCGAGCATTCTCTGGGTGGGCTCACATGGCTGAGCCTTCCAGAAAACGATTCTGAGCCCAGGGAAGTAGCTGTGGGTATTGCCAGAGTCACAACCTCTCCCCTCCCGCCAATCTGATGCAGGAGTTGATCCCAGGCTACCCCACACAAGGCACCCCCACGGTACTGGTGTGCTTCCCTTCTGCAACTGCCCTACCCAGGGTTGGGTTTAGGGACACAGAAGAGAGGCGGTTCCCCTCCCGCCACCCAGGCCCGGCGTCCTTTGAGGGCGCGTCTCATGGGCTGACGGCGAAGCATCTGCAAAGGTCGCCCTTCCAGAGAGAAGGCTGAGCTGCTTCCACTGTCAGTTGCCGAGACGACGGTGTGGGAATCACTGGGCAGATGGCCACATGTGCCCATGATCAGTCACCAAGGGGGAGCCACCGTGCCGTCTTCAAGCCCACAGAATCCCACAGGCAGTGGAGCAGAGGGACGTGTGCGGACGCTTTGCTCAGAGAGACATCTGGCGTCAGGCTGGTCCTTGGTGCAAGGGGGGAGGGGGAAGAGACTTACTGTCCTTTCCCCCCAGAAGGATGGATCTGGCCCCACTTCTTGCATCTCCTGTGTTGCTGGGCGGTTTGGGTTGGCATCCAGGAAGGATCCCGCAGAGGTTCTTTGAGTTATGGTGAGGACAGGCAGCCTGCAAAGGTTCATTGTGTAGAGGTGGCTCTCTGGGAGGCTGCATGGTCCAGCGGGTGGCAAAAGGGGACACAGAAGAAGGGTGCCTGCGTGCTCTCAAGCCTCCCCTGTCTCACCGGAGTCCAACTGGATGTAGTCATTGGAGGCCTGGATCTGCACAGATGGCGGGCCATTTCTCCCATGGCGCTGGGCAAGCACCACTTGGGCAGCCCAGAGGATTTTTATAGCCCAACCCTTCCCCAACATTGAAATTAGCAGGGAAGAGTGGGATCCCACAGCCCCCCCCACCCGCCAAGAGGGGAGTGGCATAAAACTCCATTCCTCCCCCCCCCGTTTTCTTCCCCGGCCTCCTCCTAGTAGACTAAGAGAGTTGTGAGAAGAGGAGGCCCCATGCGGCTTGTTCTAGACTCATAGCTCCCGCTGTGAGCAGCACACGCACGCACACACACGCACACACATTTTATGCAGGAAATACCCATTCCCATACACCCCCCTTGCAACCTCTGGAAGGTTTCTGTCTGCAGGCCTCGGCTCCCGGGGGAGAGGGAGGCGTCCTAGTTGACTGTCTCTCCCTGCTTCTCATGCAGAGAGGGGGGTCCCCAGGTCCCTGCGGTGGCTCCAGAAGGCCCTGACAGACCCAAGCAAGAAGGACGTGGTGGAGACGGCCGATGCCCTCTTCGTGCAAAGGGACCTGGTGCTGGCCAGCGGGTTCATGCCGCGTTTCTACCGGGTTTTTCGGCAGATGGTTAAGCAAGTGAATTTCACGGAGAGTGAGCGTGCCCGCCACATCATCAACAGCTGGGTGGAGCAGCACACTGCAGGTGAGGAGGCACAAGTCAAGCCTCAAGCAGAGGGAACCCCTGGAAAGTCAGGGAGGGGGAGGAGGGGGAGCTCCCCAAGTCTCTCCAGGGGCCAGAGAAGTCAGGGCGATGGCAGCCTAGGGAATGAGAAAAACAAGGGCTGGGAGTTCGTGGCCAAGCCGTGGCTGCCAGGCTGGGTGACCCTCTGGGCAGAACGGAGCTCTCTGGAAGGTAGCAGGCAGGATCCTTGGCTCTCGGGGATGAGTCCAGGGCCAAGGGGCTGAGGCGGGATGGCTCCCCCTGCACGCTGGTCCAGACAGTCTCCAAAGGGAAATTCAGATGCCCGGCCTCCTGGGCTCTTTCCACATCCCCCTATCTCTGTGCCTTCTTCGTTCCAGGCATGATCCAGGACTTCCTGCGCGAAGGGGTCTTGGACCCGATGACCCGCCTGGTGCTGGTGAATGCCATCCATTTTAAGGGCCTCTGGCACCTGCCCTTCCCAGAGAAAGCCACCCGGCAGCGCCTCTTTCACAAGGTGGGGGGCAGCACCATCTCAGTGCCAATGATGGAGCAGACTGCCCAATTCAACTATGGTGAGCAATGGCTGGAGTGTGTGTATGTCGGAGGGGGGGGGGTCTGCCCTGCTGGTGGGAGGGGGTGGGATGGCCTGGCAGCTCCTCCCCACCTCATACACCCCAGTCCCCACGGAGCCCGTGCAGCTAGAACAGGGTGGCTGGAGTGGCTTTTCCCTCCTTGCCTCACGACAGCCTCAATGATCCTGCACTGCAGGGCTGGGTGGCACCGTTTGCCCTGGGGGGGGAAGACCTCCGGGGGGGGGCACTTCCCCAGTGGGACATTAAGCCTCGCTCTTGGCTAAGTTGCCCTGATGCCAGTGAGGGGACTCACCGATTTTTCATTCCTTCCGAATCTCAGGTGAGTTCTCCACCTCTGAGCAGGTGGACTATGATGTCATTGAGCTGCCCTACCAGGGGGAAACCCTCAGCATGCTAATCGCAGCCCCCTTTGAGATCGACACCCCGTTGTCCGCCTTGACTGGCATCCTCAATGCCCAGGTGGTGGCCGAGTGGAAAAGCAACATGACACGGGTGACGCGCCTCCTTGTCCTGCCAAAGTAGGTTCCTGCTCTGCCTTTGGCACCCTTCTCACCCTGCGGGAGGGGGGAGGGGGTGTGTGTATGAGTGTGGGGGAGGGGGAATGCCGAATCCCCTGAGAGCAGGCCAGAGGATTCACCCTTTCCCCCTGTCCAGATACCGGGCCGCTGCAGCACCGTCCGTCCCCTCCTGGAGACCAGGCTTCCCCACTGACCCGGTTTTCCCCTCCTTCTCCTGCCTGCCTGGTAGGTTCTCTTTGGAGAGTGAAGCCGACCTCCGAGGGCCACTGAAGACCCTGGGGATGAAGGACATGTTCAGCGCCCACAAGGCCAACTTCAGTAGCCTTTCAGGTCTGTACCCTTGGGCCCCCATGGGATGGATGCCCTTGGGCTCTCCTCCGCGCTGGCTGGGTGGTGTGATCCTCGTTGTGCGCTGTGGCTCAGCTGCAGCCCTTGGGCCTGGAGGTGACAACAGAGCATGTGCAGAGTGGGAGCAGACGGCTCCCAGGGCCACTCTGGGGGTTTCCCAGCTTGGCTTTGCACAGAAACGTCCGGTAGCAGCTTGGGGTGAGGAGGGGGCGTGGCTGTGCCGTGCCTTCAGGGGTGCCACTAAGGCAGCCCTGTGGTCTGAGAGGGGTGCCCCCTCCCCCATTCAAGGCACTGGAGTCCTCCTTGACTTGCAGGACTGGGAGGGTTCCTGCTTTCCAGCACTCCACCAGCCCATGTGCTTGGTCCTCCGGCTCAGTCGCTTGCTTGCTCGCTCGCTCCAGCCGGACCTGGGCCCTGTCCCTGGCCTGGGGCAGGGAGGGGCAGGCCACCCTCAGAAGGGCCACCACTTCCCTCCACTCCCCTGGCCTTTGCGGGGGGGGGGCTTTTCTAGCCGGTCCCTCCACTGGCCTCTCCCCTGCTCACGGCGGCTCACCCTTCTTTTCAGAACAAGAGCTGCTCTTTGTGGCTCAGGCCCTCCAGAAGGTGAAGATTGAGGTCAATGAGAGCGGGACGGAGGCCTCGTCTGCCACAGGTGGGTCCCAAGTGGGATGTCTGCTGGGAGGGGAG